ATATATATACATGGCCCGGTGGTACTTGTGCCAGGAAGGTAGACTTGCCTTAGGACCACTGCAGTAGTCCAGGGTCCCCTGCAATGGGGTCCTGCCGTGGGGGACAACTCAACCCTGAACGGAGAATGGGCTTAGGGGATCGGTGGGTGGAAACCAACGAGGAGGAAGGAACCTTGGGGTGGGGGGCTTAGGCCCAACAGCCTAAAGGAAGGGGATCCTTGAGGAATCCCGGCCACGGTGACCAGATGCCGCCCAGGGAGGGAGGAAGACAGACCTGATGTCGGGGCTGCGGGCTCTGGCTGAACTGACCCAGCAAGGTCTTTGCCAACACAGGACTTTACAGAGTTGACCATGGAGGGCCCGGTGGAGGCACAGGCTCAGGAGCCTCACTCCTGTTAGACCGTTCGCTGTTCTCAGCCCTGGAACACACTTCCCCAGGGAGGCCCTCGTTCCTTCCCTGTGCCCTCCCTCCCCTCCAGCCCTGACACCAGCCTCTGGGTCTGTCCTCCACCGGGCCTCCCTGGTGTCCTGCAGTGCACCCGTCCTAGGCATGGTTGCCCTCCATCCGGGACATAAGCTCCCAGAGGGCAGGCATGTGATTTGGGTTCACTTTGGCCCAAGCCTAGCACAAGAGTAGGAGCTTTTGAGCCTGTGTGTGGCACAGAAGTGTTTCTGGCTGAGGGGAGTTTATTCCCCGAGGTTGTCCGAGGAGCTTTGGTGTGGAGCAAAGCATCTGGATGTGGAGATTTGGGGACCTGATAGGATGAGGGCCTCCAAAATTAAAGGGCAGCGTGAGAGCGCAGGGGGACAGGCGGCCACAGTGTCACCTCTGGGAGTCGTGATGAGGGCCTTAGTTACTCCCTGCTGTATGGAGGGGGACACAGCTCAGTAACCTGTGACCCAGCCAGGGAGGATGGAGCCTCAGGGTCTTTCAAGTCCCCAGGAATCTGGTTAGGAACAGGGGAGGAATGGACACGGATGGGTGGGTAGGGGTTGAGCCCTTCCGTGGGGAGTTAGCTCGAAGCAGCAGCCATGAGTCAGGCCCAGGAAGAAGCCGGGTGGGGCCCAGGGAGCCTTCTCGCTGACACACCCCCTCTCCTGTTAGGACTAGCTCATCCCGATTCTGTGCTCAACAAGGAAAGAGTCTTGTGCTAAATTCTACTTTATGGTTATGCTAGGCAGGAAAGAAAAAGAACACAGCAGAGAATCACCCTGAGTGTCGCCTCCCCTGCTCTTTGTGTGCCTCAGGCCTGGGCTCACATTCCCAGTGTTTGACACCCTGGTCCTGTTGGGGTGGCCCCGGGCGTCCCTCCCAAGTTGTCTGATGGCAACCTCCTGTCTCCGGAATTTGCACACCGCCGAGAAATTTCTAGGGCAATCTTCCACGTGATGCTCTCTTGGCCAGAAAAAGAAGCCAGAAGCCGGAGTATATCTAAAGGAAGGAAGGAAAGAAAAGGAAAAAGAAAAGACAACAGGAGCTAGGAGGACCTTAAACCTCTAAGTGGGTTTCTTGTTTCAATTGTATGCCAGTTTTTCTTAAAAAATGAAGGTGGGGACCTCCTATGTGTGCAGCCACCTACAGGTGATGGGTTGGAGGAGCACTGAGTTTCTCTTTGCTCCTGAGCGTGTAGGGGTGCTTCATTTGGCTTTACGGGGGTCTAAAGAATCTCTTTCCTACCTCCCTCCCTTCTTGGTCACATTTTAGTCTTCGCTCAAATGGCCATTTTTTAGGAAGAGTGATCCTATTTTCTATCTCTATCTATTTGGGATAAGGTCTTGCTAGGTAGTGCAGGATGGCCTTTGAACTCATTGTGTAGCCCAGGCTCGCCTCAAACTTATGGCAATCCTCCTGCCTCAGCCTCCTGAGTGCTGGCACTGATTACAGGTGTGCACCACCATGCCTGGTTCTATTTTCATAACAAAATCTAAGGTGGACATGGGGCTATGGAGCATCAGCAGCCCCAGGAAGCTTGCAGGGACTTCTCTCTAGGACACAGCACTTGGAGCTCACAGATATTTCTCCTTCAATTTTGGCTTTTGGGGGGTGTGGTTTTTTTTTGTTTTTTTTTTTTTTTTGTTTTTTTTTTGTTTTTTTTTTTCTGTCTTGCTTTGGTACCAGGGATCAAACTCACTTCAGGACCTTGTTTGTGCTTGCAGGGCAGGTGGCAGCACCACTGAGCTAAATCCCCAGCCCCCTTTCTCCAATTTTGAAAGTTGTTTTGCTACATATGGTAACCCAGGTGGGGAGTTACATTCTTTCAGGGTTTGAAATACATGTTCCCTTCCCACCTGGCCCTTAAGGTTTCTGCAGGGAGGTTTCTGCAGTCATCCTGACATGGTGTTGCTCCCTTAGTTTTCAAAATTCTTTCCTTGTCCTGTCCTCTTGTCATTTAACTGTAATGTGACATGGTAGGGTTCTGCTCTGGTAGTGCCCATTTGGGGTTCTCAATAGCTCCTATACCTGGGTGTCTATATCTTTTCTGTGGTTGGGAAAGTTCTTATTGTTAAACAGGTTTTCTGTGTCATTAGTCTGTACCTCAGTACACCCTCTTCACTAAAAAATTGGAAGTTTGGTCTTTGTGTCCCAGAGTTCTGGGATATCTCATTCATAAATTATTTATTTTTTCTTTCTCGGTGTCTGAGGGCACTAAATCCCCAGCCTCTTCTCCGCCCTGAGATTCTGCCTTCTGCTTGTTCCTCTCTGTGGGTGGAGTTTTCCACCGAGTCTCCTTGGCTCTGTGCTTCTCATTTCCAAAATTCCTGTCAAGCCCTTCAGGGACTCTCTCTGTTGGATTGCTCCTTCACGCTCTGCATTGCCTTCCTTAATTCATTGAGCTGTTTGTTTGTTTCCTCTTTGAAGTCATTAATCACTTTGTAAATCGGTCTTTTGAGTCCTTCACCTGGCATTTCATCCACTCTGATATCTTTGCATTCAGTTACCGGTGAGCTCTGGATTTTTACAGGACTCTGTTGACTGGGTTTTTTTTGTTTTGTTTTCATACTTCTTGCGTTTCTCTATCGGAGTTTCTGACTCTGTTGGGGTGTATGACTTATCTGAGGGTCTTCTTAGTGTCAACCTTGTTTTGAAGACTTGCCCCCAGTACCCCTCAGAGAGGAGAAAACTAACCGTAGTAAAGTATTTGTGTCAGCTTTTTTTTTTTTCTTTTGTAGCTGTGACAAAATACCTGAGGAAAACAAGTGAAAGCAGGAAAGAAAGGCCTGTTTCGGCTCCCATTTTCACAGGGTACAGTGCACAGTTGGACAGGTCCATTGATACAGGCTTGTGGCGAGGCAGGAAGTTGTGGCAGAGGAAGCCACTCACCTCATGGCAGCCAGGAGGCAGAGAAACAGAATGTGAGCTGAGCAGGGACAGACACAGCCCCCACGGGCACCCCCCCCACCTGCTGCCTTCAAGAAGGCCCCATCAATGAGCCCATCAGTAATCCAGTAATGAGATCAGAACCCGCGCGATCCAACTTCCTTCCTGAAGACCCTCCCTCTAAACAGCTGCACTGGAGACGAGGCGGTTTGTTTTTCCACACAGGAGCCTCTGGGGACGTTCCACGTCCCGGCAGCCTTCTCTCGCAGTCCTCAGAGCGAGCCCTTGTTGGGTGAATGTAGACTTCAGGCTATGTGGTCGTTGTTTCATCTTGTTTAACTGTTCAGCTCTTCCCCACTCACATCCTGATTTCTCCTGGGCATTGAATGAGCTCTCCTAGACTTTAGTCCTAGTGGACTGACAGCCCTCACAAGCACAGATCTGGCCCCCAGGATACAGCAACACAGGAATCGTACAGGGGCCCTGGAGCCAGTTCCCATACAGACAGAGGTTGAGACGCTCTCTGTTTTGACAAAGCACGTGGTTCTCCATCCTGAGGCCGAGCCTTGCCTGTTGGTCAGCAGCCCACAGGTCAGCACCACACCGGGACAGGCCGGTTGGCAGGGCTCTGGCAAAGATGTCCTTGTCCCGTGTCTCCCCAGCTCCTGTACATGTGCGGGGGCCTCCTGGAGCGGCCCCTGATTCTGGCCGAGGTGGTACCGAGGTACACGGTCATGCTGGAGATGTTTGATGCCGAGCTGGACGAGGCCAAGTTCATGTACGATGCCCAGATGGCGGCCTGCGCGGAAGGCACCATCCCGCCCATCCACAAGAACATGCCCCCCGTGGCCGGGCAGCTCAAGTGGAGCCTGGAGCTGCAGGAGAGGCTGGAGGTGTCCATGCGGCACATAAAGCACATCGAGCACCCGTGAGTCTCCGGGCAGGGTGGGGGCAGCACCCCAAAGGGTTCCGGTGAGTGTGCTCCGGGACGCTGGCTGTCCTAGCCCTTCACCATCAGCTGCGTGGTTATAAAACAGAGCCACCCAGACGGGAGCGAAAACAGCAATGGAGTCACCAAGCCACTGTCACTGGTTTGGTAGAGGTTCCAAGGTGGGCCGGGGACTCAGAAGCCAGCAGTGGCGGCTGGCTAGGAGGTGCCCTGTGGGACTGGCTAGGGGCACACAGGCTTTTCTCTGGTGGGACCTAAGGTGGAAGGGAGGGCAAAACCTAAGGAAATCTGAGTTACTAACCAAGATGGATGGGGGGGGATCCGCACCTGTAACCCACATGTGGGAGGCTGAGACAGGAGAATCTCTGGGAATTCGAGGCCAACCTGGACTACACAGTGAGTTCAAGGCCACCCTACACTACGTAGCAAGACCCTGTCTCAAAAACAAAAGCAGACTAACCAAGCCCTGGCTGGCAGAGGCATTGCTTCAGGGGCTATGGTTTGGCTTCCTGAGCTGGTTGTTACTCTGTTGGCCTGGGTGGGCCCGGCCTCCTCCCCTTGGGTATTTTCAATTGGGCCGCCTGATAGAAACAGCCTGGCTGCCTGCTTTGACATCCGGAGGTCCTGGCAGTAACCACTGGGGGGCGCGAAACAGGCCCTGGAGGAGGTGGTGGGAAGCCCGGTGCCTCATTGGGCGCTGACTCGGATTCCAGGGTCGTGTCGGGCCCCGAGGCCAAGATGATCTACCGGAAGTACGAAGAGATGATGGAGCTCCTGCGTGGCTACCGCGAGAAGACCTACCGGCAGTGGGCCGGGGGCGTGGACCAGGACTGCCACTTCAACCTGGGCCAGCCGCTCATCCTCCGCAGCGCAGCCAGCGGCCTCATCCAAGTCAACTTCAGCAAGGAGGTGGGTTCGGATTCGGGCCCGGGGAGAGGCCCCTCGGAGCTGAGGCCTCGGGTGAGGAGGAGCCGGGGCCGCGGCCGCTGTGGCCACCCTGTGTGCGCCAGGGACCTGCACCCCTCCCCTCCCAGCAGGCAGAGGGGACCCTGGCTGGCAGTAGCCTCAGTGAGTTTCGGTCTTTAAAAGCCCAGCCGCCTTTTCTATGGCCCCCAATGGGAACCTTAGGGTTTAAGTCAAAAGAAAAAATCTTTGCAGGATCTAGGCAGCGGGGCTAGTGGCCCAGGCATGTGAGGGGACGGACTCCACACTGCCAGGCTGCAGTTTGGGGGACCCCAGAGGGCAGAAGCGGGCACAGGGCTGACTTTGTACCCGGCCTCGCAGTAGCTGCTTGTTCTTTCTTTTTTGTATCTGGTATCAGACTCGGGTCCTTGGGCTTGTAAGGCAGGCGGTAGAACCACTGAGCTAAATCCCCGGTCCTGTTCTTTCTTCCTCCCGAGCACCACTATGTGGATGACCTTGGGATGCCTTAGGCAAAGTCTGAGGTCTCCATCCTGCCCTGCTCGCCTGGTGTGGGTCTGTGGGGGTGTGACAGAGCGGGAAGGGAAGCGGGGGCTGGCAGGAACAAAGCACCCATGTCATCTCAGCAGGTGCCTCGGGAAAAAGCACAGGGAGGCGGGGGAAGAGGAAGGGGCAGGTGCCTTGAGCTGTGAGCACCGGCAGAAGTGAGGGTGTTGGCCAAACAGAGGTGGAGGCGGCACCTCTGAGCAGAGCAGAGACTGAAGCAAAGCCGGGAGGCCTGAGTATGCCCGGCGTGTTCTAGAATCAGCAAAGGTCACCAGGGCCAGGCTGAGTGGACAAAGGAGACGCGGGTGCAGAAGAGCTGACAGGAGACCGCCTGGGCCACAGCAGGGACGGGGTCCTGACTTGAGCCAGCTGGCAGCCTGGGTACAATTTCTGGCTGAGAGAACTCTGGTCTGACTTCATCTGGAAAGGCTCCGCTCTAGGTTGCGTGGCTAGGAGCAGGGAGACGGGTCAGGAGTCTCCTGCTGCATTTCAGGTGTCAGGCGATGGCCTGGAGACCAGAGTGCCAACGGGAAGCCGTGATGAGCGATCAGACTTTGATCACGGATCCAGATGGGCGGGAGAGAGGAGTCTGTGCCGGCGTCTGGGGTCTGAGCGGCCTGGAGTGGGGAACTGCCGTCAGCTGACGCAGCCTGAGGAGGAAAGGGGGGGAGGTCAGTTGCTGTGCTGGCCATGTTGAGTTTAGGAGAGGCTGAGAAGACAGGGGAGGTGAGAAGTCCACAGGACAGCAGAGGCTGCGGCTGGAGGCATCCGCACCCTAGGTGCCAGGTGAGAATATGCCCCGTCCAGGTGGGAGTAGGTTGAGAAGAACCGAGGTCCGGTTCTCCGACCTGGGCACCTCGAGGTTACCGACCGGTCACCGGGACCAGACAGCCTGGAAGCCAAGAGCAGACCATGTGTCCATGTGTAGGGGTGACCAGCTGCTGGGAAGTCATGTGACACAACTGGCGGGTTCAATAAGGAGAGGTTACCGCCGTCTCGATACAACAGCAGTATTGGAAGGGGTCCCTGGTGTTGGCGTCCTGGGTCATAAGCAGGAAGGAGGAGAGGGAAGGCCAGATTCTAGGTAGGACCCGGGTGAAGTCCCAGCAAAGCCTGTCTCCAAATGGCCTGGGTGAGGCGAGGGGAGGCCAGAGGTGAAAAAGTGACGGTGATGTCGTCCGCCCATGAAGACGAAGTTGACCCTGTCTGACTCAGGAACAGCAAAGTCGGGGTGGGGGAGAGACATCCTGAGCTGTGGGGGGTGCCCTGGGGGCACCGCTGAATGGCTGCATGGTCTTCTGCCCCGTCCTTTGACCTTTTTTCCTTGCCATCTAGCTGGTGGCGGTGCTGAGAGAGGTCAAGTACTTGAATTTCCAGCAGCAAAAAGAGATTCCCAGTAGCGCAGAGAGCCTGTTCTCAGAGAACGAAACCTTCCGGAAGTTTGTGGGCAACCTGGAGCTCATTGTTGGCTGGTACAATGAGGTGAGTGGGCGGGCTCTTGTTGGTTTGCCAAGTTTTGATTTCTGTGTAGAACAAACGGTGGTGGGAAGGCACCTGTGAGGCAGAAGAGCAAATGAGTACATTTGAATATTTAAATGTGGTTCAAGGTGTTCCTTGTTGTTCAGGAAACATCAGCAACAGCAAAGATGATGATAGCTCATAATAGCCGAGTATGAAAACTACGTTTCCACTGGACTCTAACTTATGTCACACAGTTCTCTGAGGGTGTCTTGCTCTCCCCAGTGTATTCTGGGTAACGGTAAAGTTGTCTCTCGGTGCTCCCGTTACCCCAGTAAAGTGGGGGCAGTGGGGACATTTTACTGGAATCCAGCAGCCCCCACCAAGGAAGCGATGTCAGGAGGCTGTAGAGGTGGGAGGTGGAGGGTGGCCGGCCCCCCCTCAGCTCTCTGGTTCAACTGAGGACGTCAGTGATTTAGGAACACCCAGTGTTCTAGGACATCGGTCAGGTCCGGGAGCCTGAATCCACAGTCACAGAACGGCTGACTGGTAACTGACTGGCCTTGGGAGCAGCCCCTCCTGGAGCTATGCTGTTTGGAGCCTGGGGAGCGTGAGTGTGGGGCAGAGGCAGGCAGAGTGCTGGTCTTCACTGCCTCACAGACCAATTCACACTTCAGATCTTCAGTGTCCTCTGAAGGCCATGTATGGAAGGCTTGGCTCCAGTCACAGGGCCACTGAGAGGTGGTGGAGCCTTTAAAAGGAGGTGGGGCTTAATGCGACGCAGCCAGGTCATTGGGGGACATGGTCTTGAAGGGGATATTGGGACATAGGTCCCTTCCTCCCCTGTCCTC